CCCGGGAGCGCCCCGCGCTCCCACCGCGGGCTCCCTCGGGGCTGCGCAGAGTAAAGCGGAGGGACCGAGAGAGACCGGGTCTGGGGCGAGTTCCGAGCCCGGATCCCGCCTCCCAACTTCTGCTCCTGCACGGGGCAATGCCCAAGAGAGGGGCTGAGCTGCGCTCTCCTGGGCGATTCGGCTCGGGCCCAGGTCTCGTCTTTCCTTCTGCGGTGTCTCCTTTCGCGAGTGCTGCACCCTTCGCGGGACAGGAAAAAGGGAAGGGAGAGGCTGCTCCGTGTCTGCTCCCTGAGCCGGGCTCTCGCGCCTCTTCCCCTCCCCGAGATGCAGTCGGAGCGGATTTTCGGCAGGGATTCGCGGATGCCGCCAGCAACAGCCGGCCGGTTCCCTCCCATCCGCGGCCCCAGCCGCCCCCTCCCCGCCTGGCAGAGGCTCCGCGGCAGCCCCGCTCCCCGCAGGGAGGCCCGAGGCCGCGGGGGTGGCCGCCCTGTCCCGCTTCCCGCAGCCGGCCGTGCCCCGGGCTCACCTCGGCGCTCCTTCCGCGCACAGCTCCCGTCTCCGCGCATCGCCCCGGCAGCCCCGCTCCTGCGCCAGGGGCTGTCCCCAGCCCGGCGGAGACTCTGCTGGGGTAGCGCCTCCACAGAGCTCCAGCTTCCTCTGCTTTCCCGCCGAAGGAAGGAAACAGCCAAATAAAACGTGACCCCCTTCCCTTTCCCAGCCCCTCTTTGAAGCTGCTGATTTTTAATGACTCTTTCTCTTCTTTCTTTATTTCTTAAGTAGGCTCTCCCTCTTCTTTCCCCCTCCCCTCCTTAATAGCTAAAGAGCTATTAAGGCAGAAGGATGCTTATACGGCGAGATATTTTTTGCAAGTACGAAAGCCTCCCTGTGACCCTTCTCGAAGGCCAAGGTGCCCTGCACGGTGCCAGGATTTCTCAGGGTGATGGGGCAAAGGCGCAGCCCCTGTGCGGCCGCGGCAGACCCCGCGGCGGGACGAGGAGGAGCGCGGAAGGAGCCGCTGGGGACAGCCCGGGGGGCAAAGAGAGCCTTGGATCTGGGCTGGGGCAAGGCGGAGAGTGTCACAGAGCTCGAAGGCAGCTCTGAAAGAAAGGCAAGAACAAGAGAGCAGAGGCAGAGAACAAGAGACCTGGAGGGGCAGCCGCTCGAGCAGGCACACGGGGTGAAACGGGGCTTTTGTTTTGCACAGAGCGATTCTGACATGGTGCGAGACCCCGCAGCACCTCCCGGGATCGCTCGCGTGTTCTGCTAGACGTGCAAGAAGCTAAATGCAAGGACAGGGGCGTCCGCCCCGGCCGTGCCCCCGTCCCCATGCGACACAAAAGCGCAGCTTGGAGGGACAGCGAGAGGACGAGGGCGGGCGCTGGGCGCCGGGACGCACCCGCAG